CCTTATCAGATACATCCTTACTAAATATTTTTTCCCAGTCTGTGGCTTTCCTTTTTACCCTGCTGGAGAAGTTTTTGTATGTGCATAGGGATTTGATTCTTGGAAGATCCCATTCATCTATTTTATCCTCTTCAGGTTGGAGGTTTTTCAGGATGTTTGGAAGACTGTTTATGTTGTGGATTAGGGCTTCTAGAGTTCTTCCAACCTTTTCTCTAATGAAGTTTGTAGTCCTTGGTTTTAGTCCTAGGTCCTTGATCCATTTTGAGTTGGTTTTTGTGTATGGAGTGAGGTATGGATCTTGCTTGAATTTTTTACAGATAGTTTTCCAATTTTGCCAACATTTGTTTAAAAAGCTGTTATTTCCCCACTTAACTGATTTCATCTCCTTGTCAAAAATCAGTTAACCATAGATAGATGGTCTGATTTCTGTAGTCTCAATGCTATTCCATTGATCTGTGTGTTTGTCATTGTACCAGTACCACACTGTCTTGACCACCACACCAGTGTAGTAGGATTTGAAATCAGGGAGTGAGATGCCTCCGACCTTGCTTCTCTTTTTAAGGAGTCCTTTGCTTATTCGGGGCCTTTTTCTATTCCAGATGAAATTGGAGATTGCTTTTTCTATCTTATTGAAGAATGGAATTGGTATTTTTATTGGGATTGTGTTGCACATGTAAACTGCCTTTGGTAGTATTGTCATTTTCACAATATTGAGTCTTCCTATCCATGAGCAAGATACAATCTTTCATTACTCCAGGTCTCTCTTTGTTTCTTGCAGTAATGTGTTGTAATTTTCTTTGAATAGATCGTTTGTGCTTCTGGTTAGATTTACTCCCAAGTATTTAATCTTGTGATTAGCTATTGTGAAGGGTATTGTTTTTCTTAGCTCCAGCTCTGCCTTTTCTTTGTCACTGTAGAGAAATCCAATTGATTTTTTTGTATGTTGATCTTGTATCCTGCCACTTTGCTGAATTGGTCAACTATGTCCAGTAATTTTCTTGCTGAGTCTTTAGGGTTTTCTAAGTATATTATCATATCATCTGCATATAGAGATAATTTTACCTCCTCTTTGTCAATTTGGATACCTCTTATTTCCTTCTCTTGTCTGATTACTATCTCAAAGACTTCCAGTACAATATTGAGTATGAGAGATGAGAGTGGGCATCCTTGCCTAGTTCCTGTTCTTAAAGGGAATGCCTTTAATCTCTCTCTATTGAGAACAATGTTGGCTCTAGGATTTGTGTATATATATATTTTTTACTATGTTGAAGAAATTCCCCTCTAATCCTATTTTGTTGAGTGTTTTAATTAGGAAAGGATATTGGATTTTGTCAAAGGGCTTTTCTGCATCAATTGACAGGATCATGTGGTTCTTATTCTTTGCTTTGTTTATATGATGAAATACCTTGTTTTTCTTATGTTGAACCATTCTTGCATACCTGTTATGAATCCTACTTGGTCATGGTGAATTATTTTTTTGATGTACTGTTGCTAAAACTGAGGAGGACCTGAAGCACTTGCTGCAGAAGGTCAAGGACTGCAACCTCCAATATTGATTGAGGCTCAACATCAGGAAAACAAAGATTCTCACCACTGGGCCAATTGGCAGTGTCAGTATGGATGGTGAAGAGATTGAGATAGTTAACAGTTTTAGTTTGCTTGGTTCCACAGTCAACACTCTTGGTAGCAGCAGCCAGGAAACTCAAGAGATGAATTGCATTGGGAAAGTCAGCTGTAAGGGACCTGCCAAGAATACTGATGAGCAACGATGTCAGGCTGGAGACCAAGGTGTGCCTGATCCAGGATATAGTCTTCGCAGTTATGTGCTATGCATTGGAGACTTGGACAGTGAATAGGGATGATAGAAGGAGAATTGATGCCTTTGAGCTGTGGTGCTGGAGAAGAGTGTTGAATATACCATAGACTGCTAGGAGAACAAACAGGTTTGTCCTGGAGAGGGTGAAGTCAGAATGCTCCTTAGAGTCAAGGATTCTGAAGCTTCGTCTGACATACTTTGGGCATATTGCAAGGAGGGACTGGTCCTTGGAAAGGGACATCATGTTTGGGAGAGTGGAGAGACGGCGCAGGAGAGGAAGACCCTCGATGAGATGGATCGATTCTGTGAGTGGAGTGGTGGGAATGAGTGTGTTTGACATGGTGAGGTTGGCACAGGATAGAAGGGCGTTTAGGGCTCTTGTACATAGGGTCGCTACAAGTCGCAAGCAACTCGATGGCACATAGCAACAACAGTTGGATTTTCTTGGCCAGAATTTTATTCAGGATTTTTGCATCTATGTTCTTAAGAGATATTAGTCTTATAGTTTTCTATTTTGGTGGTGTCTTTACCTGGCTTGGGTATCAAGAATATGTTTGCTTCATAGAATGAGTCTGGGAGAATTCCATCTTTTTCTATTTTCTGAAATAGTTTATGTAGAATTTTAATTTATCATGTTGTTGTTGTTATGTGCCATCGAGTCACTTGCGACTCATAGCGACCCTATGTGTAAGAGCTCTAAATGCTGTTCTATCCTGTGCCAACCTAGCCATCTCAAATGCACTTATTCCCACCGCTCCAGTCACAGAATCGATCCATCTCACCAAAGGTCTTCCTCTCCTTCACCTCCCCTCCACTCTGCCAAACATGATGTCCCTTTCCAAGGACCAGTCCCTCCTTGCAACATGCCCAAAATATGTCAGACGAAGCTTCAGAATCCTTGACTCCAGGGAACACTCTGGCCTCACTCTCTCCAGGACAAACCTGTTTGTTCTCCTAGCAGTCCATGGTATATCCAGAACTCTTCTCCAGCACCACAGCTCAAAGGCATCAATCCTCTTTCTATCAACCCTATTCACTATCCAACTCTCTGATGCATAGCACATAATTGCGAAGACTATAGCCTGGATCAGGCGCACCTTAGTCTCCAGCCTGACATCGTTGCTCTTCAGTACTCTCATCTTAAGAAGTTTGTTCTATAACACTTGTATGTGGTTCTCTGGTTTTCTTGAACAGCTATAATCTTGGATGGTGTGTTTGGAGTTTTTGGGGGCTTTTAAAAATGGCTCTCCTGTGTTTCAGGCTCTGTTCCCTAATTCTGTGTCATTTTTATTTTTCTTTTGGTTTCACTTCCTTGTTTTTGGTTAATTATATTCTTTAGCAGGTACTAGAGGGAAAAAGTACACGATAAATAAATTTTCTAAATCCTTGATTGTCTGAAAATATATTTAATCTACCTATTCAGTTAATTGACAACTTCTCTTTGAGATCACTCTGAATAAAAAGCATTCATTTGGGGGTTTGAATGTATGTATCATGTTCTTCCATCTAGAATAAAATATATCAAATACTGCATAGTCATTTCTTTTCCCATTTAATCTACATATTTCTACTGAGGCTTTTATTTCTTTGCTGTTCATGTTTGGGAATGGTTTTGTAAAGACAGAAAATAATGACCATTGCTTTTCACATTTTACTAGAAATATAGAAACTGAAAACATTAGCTAGAAAAACAATAATTTTCTTTTTTAATGGCATGTAAGTTACCATTATGTAAATTTTGTCTCAGGTGGGGAGGGGTTAGTGGTCGGATGAATTTACTATAGTCTTTTCTCTGACAGGCATAAGCTGTCCAATCTATTCATGTTCCCTTGATCCTAACTTAGTTGGTTTAAAGCTTATTCTTTATCACGTGATATATATCTTTATTGAAAGTGTTATTGAGTAATCTCTTTCTAAGAGTTCTTGGTGGTCGACTACTAATTGAGAAATTGTTCAAATCCAACTAAAGGGATCTCTTACATAAGGCCTAGCTATCTGCTTCCAAAAAGCCATAGCCTTAAAAAATTCTCTTGGGTGCCCGTCCACTTTGCACATTTTGAGTCAGAATTAACTCAGCGACAACTAACAAAGCTCTGACTGTGCTGGTTTTCTGCCTGTCTGATCTCTAATCATCTTCTGGTCTTCAGCCTGGTCATTAATTGATAATGTGTTAGGATATCTATTCTAGCTTTTTTAGTTGTCATCAGTGAGTTAGTTAACATTAAGTCAACCATTATCACCAAAAGTTTACCCTGGAAAAACATAAGAAAAATACATTTAATGTAATTAGGAAGGTTTTTCTTTTAAGAAAATTCTCGTTAAGTATTGAGTTTCTACTACTTATATAATGTCGACATGATTGGACTTGTTATTTTTGAAAGGAGAAAGATGAGCATTCTCTGTCTTTTTTTTGTTTTGTTTTCAGGCACACTCTAAGCAAAGATTTACAGCTTCAGAAACTTCATAGTGGAGTATCGCTATGAATTAAAACTAACTCACTGGCAGTGAATTGTGAATGGGCCATTTTTAAAAATTAGTTTTCTGATGACTCTATTTGGAAATAGTTATACAAATCAAATGCTAATAATAGTTGAAATGTTTCGGGTAGAAGCCAAGAACCACGCCAAGGTAGAAACATTTTTCAGAGTTTATTGTATGCCAGGCTACTCAGCAAGGGTAGAAGCACTGGGGGCTGGGCTTTGTTGTTATGTGCCGTTGAGGCGCTTGCAACTCATAGCGACCCTAGGTACAACAGCCCTAAACTCTGCTCTGTCCTATGTGGGCTTGGGGGGCTTATATGAGGTCATTGCAGTGGTTCATTGGTGCATAAAGTTTCTGGTCTTGGGAAACTGGTTCTGGGGAATGTCCTGACATAGGATTTCTGAGTTCTGGTTTCAGAAAAATGTCCTGACATAGGGTTTTCTGAGTTCTGATTTCAGAAATTGTCCTGACATAGGATTTTCTGAGTTCTGGTCCTGACATAGGATTTTTTAGTTGAGCTTCAACCTCCATTTTGATTTTTAGCCTAACAATAATCTTGGGACTGTATATAATTAAACTCACCAGGTTCTTTTAGCCCTGTTTATGAATACTTAAGAGCTTATTCTAAATCAGGTGAATATATCCTTATGTAAAGTGTTACTGATTAATCTAATATTGTCTTTTTGGCTTTTTTCTGTTGTAGGGAATACAGTGAGTAACCTGATTATGATCATACCTCCACTCTTTGGAGCAGTTCAGAGTGTTAGAGATGGACTGGAAAAACGGTACATTGCTTCTTACTTAGCACTCACAGGTATGTATAATCGTTCACATGACAAATGATGTTATATTCAGAAGACTGCTTTCCTCGTTTATTTCTGAAAAATGTTTTTCCATTTTTGGACTATTATACAGCTTGACTACTTTTAGGAATTTCTAAATAGAAACTTTGCAAACCTTGCTAATAAGTTGAACTACATTCTGAGTAATAACAAATAACTATAAACTATTTCAAGCATACAGAAAAGAGGTAACAGTATAATAACCATACTCATATCTTATGAGTTTTTCCACATCATATCACAATAATTTGTTTCATATTTTCTTTTTCTATAAAAAAAATAAATAAATCACTATTTGTACAATTGAAAGGGAGCTCTGGTGACAAAAGGAGTTGTGCTGCTAACCCAAAGGCCACACCTTTCTGGCGGTTCCAATCCCCCAATGGCTCCAAGGGAGAAGATAGACCATCTGCTACACAATTTACATCCTTGGAACCCAATGGAGGATGAATTGTTTCCAATTTAATGGCAATGACTGACTTGAAGATGACTATATATACCCCTTTTTCTCCTTTAAATTGCAAATATGTTTAATTAACCTCTTTTTTTATGTTAAGGTATTCTTGAAATCCCAAAATGCACCTGACTTTAAAAAAAAAATAGCTGAATTTTGTAGGTTTTAAAAAAAATATTTTTAAATGAGATAAAACAAATGTGGAGAAAACTGTAAGACTCTTAAATGCACAGCTTTTATAAAAATAAACTTTTATTTTGTAGTGGTTTGCTTACAAAGTTTGTACACATTGTTTTTCCACACTGACTCTTAAATGTATGGTTTGATAAATTTTTACAAGTTTGATTACCGTCCAGATTGAAATACAGAGCATTTCTGTTGATAGGCTTGCTTGAAATAACTTTATTTAGGACCTAGGCTTTTAGGTGCATTAGGAATGTTGGCCTAGTTTTCTTATTATTTATTTATCAAAGTTTTATATTAGATGTATGAAATGAGTTGGAAAATATTATATCTTACTTTCTCAGACAAGGTGGTGTTTGAATATTCAATAGAATTGCTTATGAAACTCTTTGGACTAAGGCTTCTTTCTGTTTTCATGAGTTGATTTACAATATTGATCAATTTAATAGTAATGCCCTAACTTAGTATTCTCTTTCTTCTTGAATTAATCTCATATACTTCATCCATGCTTTCAGACTTATCTGAAAGTTGCTCATTTTCTCCTAGTTGTTCCTTGATCTGTTGCTATGACCTTTATTATTCCTAATATTGTTTCTTTGACTTTTAAAGGAAGCACCTTCTGTTTTCATTTATCTTTCTCTGCTATATAATCTTTTTCTATTTTATACATTTATATGCATGACTTAATTCTGCCCTACTTGTTTACTTTATAGCTCTACTAACTTACTGAATTGAGTATTTCACTTACTAATTTTCATTTTTATTATCAGTCAAAATACTTGAATTTTGTGTGAGACTTTGACCATAAGTTTTACTATGCGGTCCTTTTATTATAGTCTATAAGTAATTGAACTACAGTGAGAGAATCATATCTGAATGATACAAGGTTTTTTTACTCAGTGAGACTTAGTTGAAGTCTAATACATGAACAATTTTTGTGACTGACTATTCAGTTTAAAAAAAATCTTGTTAGATTCAGAATTCTGTTAAGTATATAATAAAATCAAGCTTGTGAATTGTTGTTGTTAGGTGGCATTGAGTCAAGTATTACTCATAGTGACCTTGTGAACAACAGATCTGAACTCTCTCGTCTCCTGTGCCATCTTCACACTTCCTTACACACTGGAAGCCCATTGTGTCAGTCACCATGTCAGTCCATCTGATTGAGGGTCTTCCCCTCCTCTGCCAACCCTCCACCTTTCCAAGCATCATTTCCTTCTCCAAGAAATAGCCCTTCCTGGCAACATGCCCAAAGAATGTGAGGCAAAGTCTCATCATTCTTGCCTCCAAAGAGCACTCTGACTACATCCTCTCCAAGACATACCAGTTTGTTCTTTTGGCCATCCATGGGATGTTCAGTTCTCTTCTCCAGCACCACAGCTCAAAGGCTTCCATCATCCTTATTCATTGTCCACCTCTTGGATACATAGCAAGTGATTGGAAAGACCGTGGCCTGAATCAGATGCACCTTAGTCCTCAAACTGACATCATTACTCTTCAATAATTTGGAGAAGTCCCTAACTATAGACTTTCCCAGTGCAATGCATCTCCTGATTTCTTGACTTCTGGAACCAAGGGTGTTAATTGTGGATCTAAGTAAGATGAAGTTGTTCAGTTTAAATCTCTTCTCTATTCATCATGATACTGCCTATTCAGTACAGTGGTAAGAATCTTTGTTTTCTTGATAGTGAGATACAATCCATACTGAGGGCTGCATTCCTTCATATTCTGCAACAAGTGCTTCAAACCCTCCTCACTTTCAGCAACCAAGGCTTTGTCATATGCATAACGCAGGTTATTGGTGAGTCTCCCTCCAATCCTGATGTCAACATTCCTCTTCTTGAATAATTTGCTCAGCGTACATATTAAATAGGTATGGAGTTAGAATTCAACCCTGATACACTCCCTTCTTAGTTTTAAACTATGCAGTGTTCCCCTGCATTGTTCGCACAACAGCCCCCTGGTCCAGGTATATGAACACAGTTAGGTGCTTTGGGACTCCCGTTCTTCTCAATGTCAGCCACAACTTGTTATCATCCACACAATTAGATGCCTTTGCACAGTTGATAAAGCACAAATAGACAATCTTCTGCTATTCTTTATTTTTAGCCAGAATCCATATGACATCAACAATTCTATCCCTGGTGTAAATGTGTAAATTTTCTATATTCTTAATCTTAAGTCCTTATTTTATTATGTTAAATTTACCACTCTAATTTTGGGTTTATCTCTGTCACTGTTAATTTTTACTCTGTCTTATACATATATAATTGCTATTCTTGATGACATTTTCCTTTGGCATTATGTGTTGTTTTTAGGTGCCATAGAGTCAAGTATGACCCATTGCAACTCTGTGATCAACAGATTTGAACCCTGGCCTATCCTGTGCCGTCCTCATCCTTCCTGACACAGTAGAGCCCATTGTGTCAGTCACTGTTGAGGGTCTTTCTCTCCTTCACTTATCCTCTGACGTTCTGAGCATTATGTCCCTCTTCAATGAATAGCCTCTTCTAGCAACATGCCTGAAGTAAGTGAGGCAAAGCTTTATCATCTTTGTCTCCAAAGAGCATTCTAGCTCCACTTTCCAAGACGTATTTGTTTGTTCTTTTGGCGGTCCATGGGATGTTCAGTGCTCTTCTTCAACACCACAGCTCAAAGGCATTAATCCAGCTCTCAGATGTATAGCAAATGATTGGAAAGACCATGGCCTGAATTAGATGAACGTTATCCTCAAACTGCCATCATTACTCTTTAATAATTTAGAGAAGTACCTAACTGCAAATTTTCTCAGTGCATTCTGTCTCCTGATTTCCTGACTGCTAGTACCAAGGCTGTTGTTTGTGGATCCAAGTAAGATGAAGTTGTTGACAGTTTCAGTCTTTTCTCCATCTATTATGATGTTACCTATAGGTCCAGTGCTTAGAATCGTTGTTTTCTTGATGTTGAGATGCAGTTCACATTGAAACTGTATTGTTTGATCTTCTGCAACAAAAATGCTTTAAGTCCTCCTCACTGTGAGCAAGCAAGGTTGTGTCATCTGCATAATGCAGGTTATTGTTAACTCTTACTCCCATCTTGATGCCACATTCTTCTTCATAGAGTCCAGCTTTTTTTCATAATTTGCTCAGCATACAGATTAAATAGGTGAGAGAGAATACAACCCTGATGCACTACTTTCTTAATTTTAAACCACACAGTGTTCCTCTGCTCTGTTCTCACTACAGCCTCCTGATCCACGTAGAAGCTTTGCATAAACACAGTTAAGTGCTCTGGGACTACTGTTCTCTTCAAATACACATGGTTCCTTCTCTAAGAGAAACCACGTATTAAGTCACATAGCAAATCTTGACAGATTTTTAAAAATTGAAACCATGCAAAGTATTTTATCTGATCACAATGAGTGAAGGTAGAAATAAATAACATACAAAGAAACTGAAATAGTTAGATAGATAGCCACAACTTATGATCCACACAGTCTAATGCCTTTGCAAAGTCAATAAAGCACAAATACACATTCTTCTGGTATCTTTATTTTCAGCCAGGATCCATCTGACATCAGCAATTATATCCCTACCGCCATGGCCTCTTCTAAAATCTGCTTAAATTTTTGGTAGTTCTCTATGTACTAGGTGTTTTTGAATGATCTTTAGCAGTATTTTTCTTGCGTATGATAGTAATGATATTGTCTGATCACCTAATGATATTGGATCACCTTTCTTGGGAGGGGAACAAATATGGACCTCTTCCAATTCATTGGTCAGACAGTGGGGTGTCAACAGTTTGGTCGTTTTCTATTTAATCAACAATCAGGTGCAATCTAATTGATCCTTTTAATTAACAATCAGTGGTGGGCTGGAAGCCTCTTGTTTAAACCAGTCAGGATCTGGTGGGAGAGACTTTGTGATTAAAAGTCAGTTGGGCCCTAGAGCCACAGGCCCTGGGGCCTGGGGTGAAGACTAACTTGCTGCTGTTGTTGATTGCCTTCCAGTCAGCAAGACTCATAATGACCCTATGAACAAAAGGCCTGAAGCCCCTCTACAACTATCAACATTTATCAGAATTCATATAGTTTCTGGAGGCATGTTGTTTAGGAAGTAGATTACAAACTAAATTGGCAGTTTGTTGTATTTGGAAATAACATTGCTCGAGATGATATAGCACTTGTCTGTCAGTTTGTTGTACTAGAAATAACTTGTGTGCTGCTGTGATACTGAAATTTATGCCACTGGTTTGTCAAATGCCTTAGGTTACTCATGGTGGACAGGCATTAGTAGAGGTTCCAGATTAAGACAGACTAGGAAGCAGGATTGGCCGTTCATTTCTTAAATAATAGGC